GGTGAAGGACACTGAATGGAGGCCAGTGGAGGGATTGGCAGAGAGGGGTGGAGGACACTGAGTGGAGGCCAGTAGAGGGATTGGCAGAGAGGGGTGGAGGACACTGAATGGAGGCCAGTGGAGGGATTGGCAGAGAGGGGTGGAGGACACTGAATGGAGGCCAGTGGAGGGATTGGCAGAGAGGGGTGGAGGACACTGAATGGAGGCCAGTGGAGGGATTGGCAGAGGGGGGTGGGGGACACTGAATGGAGGCCAGTGGAGGGATTGGCAGAGGGGGGTGGGGGACACTGAGTGGAGGCCAGTGGAGGGATTGGCAGAGAGGGGTGGAGGACACTGAATGGAGCCCAGTGAAGGGATTGGCATAGAGGGGTGGAGGACACTGAACGGAGGCCAGTGGAGGGATTGGCAGAGAGGGGTGGAGGACACTGAATGGAGGCCAGTGGAGGGATTGGCAGAGGGGGGTGGGGGACACTGAACGGTTGGTAAGGTGGATGAGCCTGGCAGCAGCATTCATGATTTATCTGTTTTATACCTTTGCATACCCTTAAAGTGACTACAGATGATTTTATAAGATAGTTCCGAATCTAAGCTCTGCTTTTACTTCTCTTTGTGTTTAATGTACACATGTATCTGAGGGTCTCAAATCGTGACCACGAGGGACCAGTGCCAAGTCTTGGGCTCTGAGTCATAAATGTATAAATTAAGAATATTAAGACAGCAAAAAGTCCAGAAGTCTCCGAAAATTATTATTCATCATCACTAACACCTAACCAATAACACCTGATCAATCATCATCAACATCTGATTAGTCACCAACACCTGACCATTGTCACCAACACCTGACCATCGTCACCAACACCTGACCATCCTCCCAAAACACTTAACTATTGTCACCAACACTTGACCATCTTCACCAACATCTGACCATCATCACCAACACCTGACCATTGTCACCAACATCTGACCATCGTCACCAACACTTAACTATTGTCACCAACACTTGACCATCTTCACCAACACCTGACCATCATCACCAACACCTGACCATCGTCACCAACACCTGACCATTGTCACCAACACCTGATCATTGTCACCGACACCTGATCAATCATCATCAACATCTGATTAGTCACCATCAATATCTGATCAATCTTCACCAATGCCTGATCATTGTCACCAACACCTGATCAATCATCACCGACACCTGATCATCATCACCAACATCTGACTATCATCACCAACACCTGACCATCGTCACCGACACCTGACCATCGTCATCAACACCTGACCATTGTCACCAACACCTGAATATCGTCACCGACACCTGACCATCGTCATCAACACCTGACCATCGTCACCAACACCTGAATATCGTCACCGACACCTGAATATCGTCACCGACACCTGACCATTGTCACCAACACCTGACCATCGTCACCAACACCTGATCATTGTCACCAACACCTGACCATCGTCACCAACACCTGACCATTGTCACCAACACCTGACCATCGTCACCAACACCTGACCATTGTCACCAACACCTGACCATCGTCACCAACACCTGACCATTGTCACCAACATCTGACCATCGTCACCAACACTTGACCATTGTCACCAACACCTGACCATTGTCACCAACATCTGACCATCGTCACCAACACTTGACCATTGTCACCAACACCTGATCAATCATCACTGACACCTGACCATCGTCACCAACACTTAACCATTGTCACCAACACTTGACCATCTTCACCAACATCTGACCATCATCACCAACACTTGACCATTGTCACCAACATCTGACCATCGTCATCAACACTTGACCATCTTCACCAACATCTGACCATCGTCATCAACACTTGACCATCTTCACCAACATCTGACCATCGTCATCAACACTTGACCATCTTCACCAACATCTGACCATCGTCACCAACACTTAACCATTGTCACCAACACTTGACCATCTTCACCAACACCTGACCATCGTCACCAACACCTGACCATTGTCACCGACACCTGATCAATCATCATCAACATCTGATTAGTCACCATCAATATCTGATCAATCTTCACCAATGCCTGATCATTGTCACCAACACCTGATCAATCATCACCGACACCTGATCAATCATCACCAACATCTGACTATCATCACCAACACCTGACCATCGTCACCGACACCTGACCATCGTCATCAACACCTGACCATCGTCACCGACACCTGACCATCGTCATCAACACCTGACCATTGTCACCAACACCTGAATATCGTCACCGACACCTGACCATCGTCATCAACACCTGACCATTGTCACCAACACCTGAATATCGTCACCGACACCTGACCATCGTCATCAACACCTGACCATCGTCACCAACACCTGACCATGGTCACCAACACCTGACCATTGTCACCGACACCTGACCATCGTCACCGACACCTGACCATCGTCATCAACATCTGACTGATGACCAAAGACTGTATGACTTGCACCTTTTCTATTGTACATACTTATGTCAGCCATCTAATAATAGAGACATCTCCAGCATACATGCGTTGTGTGATCTCCTATCAGTTAGACCTCACTGTCTAACCAGGGCCAGGTCGCTGTACGTGTATGTCCACTATCGTCCAATCATGGACAATTTGTAGGATGTAAATCGCTGAGAGGAAAATAATATTTATTGCACTATAAAGCCCGGTAAGGCAGCCCACTTTGGTCCGATGTGCTGATTTTAAGACCTTTTAGTGCATTAGATAAGAGGATGATGTATGGCTATCACCCCCGAGTATATAATACACATGACTAAGACGAGCCATCACCACGAGGGAGCCATCCACGAGGGAGCCATCACCACGAGGGAGCCTCACCACGAGGGAGCCATCACCACGAGGGAGCCTCACCACGAGGGAGCCTCACCACGAGGGGGAGCCACGAGGGAGCCATCACCACGAGGGAGCCTCACCACGAGGGAGCCTCACCACGAGGGAGCCATCACCACGAGGGAGCCATCACCACGAGGTCCATCACCTCATAACTGTACATTCACCTGTCAAACAACCGACATGAGGACTACGTAGGCCGGGTCTGTCTGCCATTATCTCCGTAACATTCACCGGGTTCATTCAGAGTGCAGCTCACAGAAAGAAAAACATGGAAAACGTCCTTCACATCCCATCCTATGGGCTCCCCATCCTCCATCTGTCCATCTTCCTCAACTCGTAGGACATTTGAAGTTTATTTTCCATAATGGAGTCTGAGCCATGGGAGACATTAGTACATGGGATAGAACATAAGACGCGGGCCAGACTCCATGTTTGTTTAATATAAGACGGCTCCTATGAGATCATTCCATATCACAATCCATTCACTAATTCTACAGAATTAACATAGAAAATAAATAGAGAGCTCGGGGTGAACGGCGGAGGGTCAGCTGCTGGATTCCAGGAGGAGACGTTCATCGGAGAAATCTGAGAATTACCTGTTTATTTGTCATGAGAAGTCATGCCTCGGACAGGCGCCCATTACCCATCACTCACACGTCAGGGTCCACCGACAGATCTGAAGGCCGATATCTCCACAATATACCTACTACAGGTTCAGGGAATGGTCGTGTCTACTCATATCAGGTGCTTCCTGTAAGTTGTCACCCTACTTATCAAGATGTCACCACCAATCACTCCTATATCCCCCAAAGCCAAAGATCAACCTTCCACGGGAGTCTTGAGTCTGAAGGAGGGGGAGGGGGCATAGTGGCAATTCTGAAGCCGGTCACATGGTACAGTCTCAATCTTTTTTTGTTTTTAGTTGAACCAACGGTTAGGTAGTCTAAAGACTTACCTAATGGAGTGAAATGACTCCGGAAACAATGTGAACGATCAGTATTTCATCGACTTCTAATGCTTTGTTGGCAACTCTTCTGTTTGATCCTCAGAAACAAATGACCAATCCGGATCGCCTACTATAGAGGAGCCTTTCTCATGCTTTTTATATGGAGAAACCCTTGAAGAAACGTTCTGACCTCAGGTGACCCCTGCTGAAGCCTCGTTCACAATCCCAATCTGACAGCCATGTGGGTATGGATGCACAGCTCTGAACGCACTCTGTCCGCGGACGTCATCTCGCACCTAAATGGCTGTAGAATTGGGAACAGAACCTGAGTCCATGCAGCCATTGAGGTCCAAATACAGGAAAGGGACTCTCTGCATAGAGATGCATGGAACACCTGTACATCCTGTGTGGCCAAACATGGTCCTGGCACGGTGTACGCTGCAGTGCGGCCAAGTGAGCGAAGCCTTATAATTACTAAATGTCCAGCTGAAAGTTGGTGGTCAGTGGGAAGAATGTCCCTTACATTGGGGATCAGTGGGAAGAATGTCCCTTACATTGGGGATCAGTGGGAAGAATGTCCCTTACATTGGGGGTCAGTGGGAAGAATGTCCCTTACATTGGGGTGGGTCAGTGGGAAGAATGTCCCTTACATTGGGGGTCAGTGGGAAGAATGTCCCCTACATTGGGGGTCAGTGGGAAGAATGTCCCTTACATTGGGGGTCAGTGGGAAGAATGTCCCTTACATTGGGGATCAGTGGGAAGAATGTCCCTTACATTGGTGATCAGTGGGAAGAATGTCCCTTACATTGGGGGTCAGTGGGAAGAATGTCCCTTACATTGGGGGTCAGTGGGAAGAATGTCCCTTACATTGGGGGGGTCAGTGGGAAGAATGTCCCTTACATTGGGGGGTCAGTGGGAAGAATGTCCCTTACATTGGGGGTCAGTGGGACCCTTACATTGGGGGGTCAGTGGGAAGAATGTCCCTTACATTGGGGATCAGTGGGAAGAATGTCCCTTACATTGGGGGGTCAGTGGGAAGAATGTCCCTTACATTGGTGGATCAGTGGGAAGAATGTCCCTTACATTGGGGGTCAGTGGGAAGAATGTCCCTTACATTCAGTGGGAAGAATGTCCCTTACATTGGGGATCAGGGGAAGAATGTCCCTTACATTGGGGGGTCAGTGGGAAGAATGTCCCTTACATTGGGGGTCAGTGGGAAGAATGTCCCTTACATTGGGGGTCAGTGGGAAGAATGTCCCTTACATTGGGGGTCAGTGGGAAGAATGTCCCTTACATTGGGGGTCAGTGGGAAGAATGTCCCTTACATTGGGGATCAGTGGGAAGAATGTCCCTTACATTGGGGGTCAGTGGGAAGAATGTCCCTTACATTGGGGGTCAGTGGGAAGAATGTCCCTTACATTGGGGGTCAGTGGGAAGAATGTCCCTTACATTGGGGGTCAGTGGGAAGAATGTCCCTTACATTGGGGGTCAGTGGGAAGAATGTCCCTTACATTGGGGGTCAGTGGGAAGAATGTCCCTTACATTGGGGGTCAGTGGGAAGAATGTCCCTTACATTGGGGGTCAGTGGGAAGAATGTCCCTTACATTGGGGGTCAGTGGGAAGAATGTCCCTTACATTGGTGGTCAGTGGGAAGAATGTCCCTTACATTGGGGGGTCAGTGGGAAGAATGTCCCTTACATTGGGGGTCAATGGGAAGAATGTCCCTTACATTGGGGGTCAGTGGGAAGAATGTCCCTTACATTGGGGGTCAGTGGGAAGAATGTCCCTTACCCCCTTACATTGGGGGTCAGTGGGAAGAATGTCCCTTACATTGGGGATCAGTGGGAAGAATGTTCCCTTACATTGGTGGTCAGTGGGAAGAATGTCCCTTACATTGGTGGTCAGTGGGAAGAATGTCCCTTACATTGGGGGTCAGTGGGAAGAATGTCCCTTACATTGGGGGTCAGTGGGAAGAATGTCCCTTACATTGGGGTCAGTGGGAAGAATGTCCCTTACATTGGGGTCAGTGGGAAGAATGTCCCTTACATTGGGGTCAGTGGGAAGAATGTCCCTTACATTGGGGGTGTCAGTGGGGGGGTCAGAAGAATGTCCCTTACATTGGTGATCAGTGGGTAAGAATGTCCCTTACATTGGGGGTCAGTGGGAAGAATGTTACATTGGGGGTCATGGAAGAATGTCCCTTACATTGGGGGTCAGTGGGAAGAATGTCCCTTACATTGGTGGTCAGTGGGAAGAATGTCCCTTACATTGGGGGTCAGTGGGAAGAATGTCCCTTACATTGGTGGTGGGTAGAATCAGTGGGGGTCAAGGGAAGAATGTCCCTTACATTGGTGGTCAGTGGGAAGAATGTCCCTTACATTGGGGGTCAGTGGGAAGAATGTCCCTTACATTGGTGGTCAGTGGGAAGAATGTCCCTTACATTGGGGGTCAGTGGGAAGAATGTCCCTTACATTGGGGGTCAGTGGGAAGAATGTCCCTTACATTGGGGGTCAGTGGGAAGAATGTCCCTTACATTGGGGGTCAGTGGGAAGAATGTCCCCTACATTGGGGGGTCAGTGGGAAGAATGTCCCTTACATTGGGGGTCAGTGGGAAGAATGTCCCTTACATTGGGGGTCAGTGGGAAGAATGTCCCTTACATTGGTGGTCAGTGGGAAGAATGTCCCTTACATTGGGGTCAGTGGGAAGAATGTCCCTTACATTGGGGGTCAGTGGGTAGAATGTCCCTTACATTGGGGGTCAGTGGGTAGAATGTCCCTTACATTGGGGGTCAGTGGGAAGAATGTCCCTTACATTGGGGGTCAGTGGGGTTTGGGTAGAATGTCCCTTACATTGGTGGTCAGTTAAATGTCCCTTACATTGGGGGTCAGTGGGTAGAATGTCCCTTACATTGGGGGTCAGTGGGTAGAATGTCCCTTACATCTTGCCGGCACACCGTATTGCAGCAATGTAGTAGCTGTAGAATCGCTGTGTTAGTGACTACTACATACTCCTGGCAGTGATTGGACGATCTGTCGCAGACATTCCCAGTCATGTGTAGCTCAGTCACTGATTTCTCGCAGACACAGAATCCCGGCTTCGGCACCTTCCTATGTGATCCAACAGATGTGGATGGCCGTGGTGCACCATGGATCTGCAGCTGCATCGATCAGTACTGCAGTCACTCACATCCAGAGACAACAAGGGAGCCGAGAGGTTTGGAGGTACAAAGTGGGACTCGGCCCCAACAAAGCAGAAAAGTGGAATCAATTCTGTAAAACGAGGAGCCATGAAAAAGAATAAGGAGCCTCACACCGGCTATCAGCCCCTTTGTCATGTGTAAAGAATCAGCTTCAGCTTCTCCCCGTCACAAGCCACGCCCACTGACGCGTTTCAACCTATCATGGTGTTCGTCATAGAGGTCCTCATGGGAGGGTGAAACGCGTCAGTCGTGCCCTGAATGGAGACATCGGGGCTCCTAATCCTTTCCATTAGAGGCTGGGAAGGCCTTGTTGGATGCACCTGATGGGACTGGTGTCACTGGGATGTCGCAGGATCGTGCACTGGAGCAACGCTACATTATCTGAGGTCACGGGGCAAGAAAAGGGTTCAAAATGTCGTCTGCAATGGAAACTGTAATACTTTGGGTCATTAATACGTGTCTGAGCCATCGTTGTGTATATGGAGATACCCAGTATTACCAATAAACATTTACTACACGGCCCCACCAATGAGAGGAAGACTCTGAGAACCCATCAGATCCCAATGGGGAGGAGTCTCCTGCTGGATCTCTATACTGACATGGACGGGGGATGGGTGAGGAACGTAAGGACGCCCCATCATTGGATGGAAATGATCGACCTACAGAGGACTGAATTCACAGACACCCCCGAAAATCAGAGTGAAGAAATGATGTAGCAGGCGAGTCCATGTTGGTGAAATGTCATTGCAGGAACTCAGAATGGCCCTCAGTAGTCTGTGTGGCCCCCACGTGCTTGTATGCATGCCTGACAATGTCGGGGGAGGGTCCTAATGAGACCACGGATAGAGTCCTGGGGGATTTCCTCCCAGATCTGGACCATCATCACTGAGCTCCTGGACAGTCTGAGATGCAACCTGGTGGCGTCGGATGGACCGAAACATGACATCCCAGAGGGGTTCTATTGGATTTAGGTCAGGAGAGCGTGGGGGCCATTCAATGGTATCAATTCCTTCATCCTCCAGGAACTGCCTGCATACCCCCCCCCCCCCCCCCCCCCCCCCACATGAGGCCGGGCATTGTCTGCACCAGGAGGAACCCAGGACCCACCGCACCAGGAGGAACACGAGACCCACTGCACCAGGAGGAACCCGGGACCCACTGCACCAGGAGGAACCCAGGACCCACCGCACCAGGAGGAACACCAGGGGAACCCACCCACTGCACCAGGAGGAACCCAGGACCCACTGCACCAGGAGGAACCACTGCACTGGCGTAGGGTCTGACAATGGATCCAAGGATTTCATCCCCATACCTAATGGCAGTCAGGGGGCCGTTGTCTATCCTGTAGAGGTCTGTGTGTCCCTCCATGGAGATGCCTCCCCAGACCATCACTGACCCACCACCACAAACGGTCATGCTGAACCATGTTACAGGCAGCAGAACGTTCTCCACGGCTTCTCCAGACCCTTTCACGTCTGTCACATGTGCTCAGGGGGAACCTGCTCTCATCTGTGAAAAGCACAGGGCGCCAGTGGTGGACCTGCCAATTCTGGGGTTCAATGGCAAATGCCAATCCAGCTCTATGGTGTCGGGCTGTGAGCACAGGGCCCACTAGAGGATGTCGGGCCCTCAGGCCACCCTCATGAAGTCTGTTTCTGATTGGTCAGAGACATTCACACCACTGGCCTGCTGGAGGTCATTTTGTAGGGCTCTGGCAGGGCTCATCCTGTTCCTCCTCCACAAAGGAGCAGATACCGGTCCTGCTGATGGGTTAAGGACCTTCTACGGCCCTGTCCAGCCCTCCTAGAGGAACTGCCTGTCTCCTGGAATCTCCTCTGTGCTCTTGTCTCCTGGAATCTCCTCCGTGCTCTTGAGACTGTGCTGGGAGGGACAGCAAACCTTCTGGCAATGGCAGGTATTGATGTGCCATCCTGGAGGAGTTGGACTGCCTGTACAACCTCTGTAGGGTCCAGGTATGGCCTCATGGTACCAGTAGTGACACTGACCCGAGCCAAATGCAGAACCAGTGAGAGACAGTCAGAAAAGATGAGAAGGAAAAAAATGTCAGTGGCCTCCACCTGTAAAACCATTCCTGTTTTGGGGGTCATCTCATTGTTGCCCATCTAGTGCACCTGTTGTTAATTTCATGAACACCAAAGCAGCTGAAACTGATGAACAACCCCCTCTGTGACTTACCTGACCAGATCCTCTGCGACTTACCTGACCAGATCCATATCCCAGTAGAGAGAATCGACTTCATGTGACTCGGATTACAAAGTCTGCATTTCATTTTTTGGAGTGTGTATGAAAAAGGATAGGACATGGTACTGGAGGGGGTACCATTCACCATACATGGTACATAGATATCACATGGTAGTCATACATCATACATGGTAGTCATACATGTACCATACGTCGGGTCCTTACCTGTTAGTGTCAGGTTGCTGTAGGTGTTGGAGAAATGTTCCTTCAGCAGGATGAGGTGCATCTGAGCCGCCTTCTCCCTCTGCAGCTCCAGCATGGTGTCGGGGTGCTGAGCGATTTTGCAGCCTTTCTGTTTGTCCAGAGAGATGTCGCTGCGCACAATGTCTGCAATACAAACGTTTCCCGTTCAGTGTCATGTGACTGTTCCCTGGGGGTCCCATCAGGATCGTGTCCCCTTGTCCCCCTCCCCCATCAGAGGTCATGTCCCCTTGTCCCCCTCCCCCATCAGAGTGCATGTCCCGCTCCCCCATCAGAGGGCGTGTCCGTGTCCCCCTCCCCCATCAGAGGGCGTGCCCCCCTCCCCCATCAGAGGGCGTGTCCCCTTGTCCCCCTCCCCCATCAGAGGGCGTGTCCCCGTGTCCCCCTCCCCCATAAGAGGCCGTGTCCCCCTCCCCCATCAGAGGGCGTGTCCCCTTTTCCCCCTCCCCCATCAGAAGTCGTGTCGCCTTGTCCCCCTCCTCCATCAGAGGTCGTGTCCTCTTGTCCCCCTCCCCCATCAGAGGTCATGTCCCCTTGTCCCCCTCCCCCATCAGAGTGCATGTCCCCCTCCCCCATCAGAGGGCGTGTCCCCTTGTCCCCCTCCCCCATCAGAGGGCATGTCCCCGTGTCCCCCTCCCCCATAAGAGGCCGTGTCCCCCTCCCCCATCAGAGGGCGTGTCCCCTTGTCCCCCTCCCCCATCAGAAGTCGTGTCGCCTTGTCCCCCTCCTCCATCAGAGGTCGTGTCCTCTTGTCCCCCTCCCCCATCAGAGGTCGTGTCCCCTTGTCCCCCTCCCCCATCAGAGGTCATGTCCCCTTGTCCCCCTCCCCCATCAGAGTGCATGTCCCGCTCCCCCATCAGAGGGCGTGTCTGTGTCCCCCTCCCCCATCAGAGGGGTCGCGTGCCCTCCTCCCCCATCAGAGGGCGTGTCCCCTTGTCCCCCCTCCCCCATCAGAGGGCGTGTCCCCTTGTCCCCTCCCCCATAAGAGGGCGTGTCCCCCTCCCCCATCAGAGGGCGTGTCCCCTTGTCCCCCTCCCCCATCAGAAGTCGTGTCGCCTTGTCCCCCTCCCCCATCAGAGGTCGTGTCCCCTTGTCCCCCTCCCCCATCACAAGTCGTGTCCCCTTGTCCCCCTCCCCCATCAGGATCTTGTCCCCCTCCCCCATCAGAGGTCATGCCTCCTTGTCACCCTCCCCCATCAGAGGTCGTGTCCCCTTGTCCCCCTCCCCCATCAGAGGTCGTGTCTCCTTGTCCCCCCTCCCCCACAATGTCTGCAATACAAACGTTTCCCGTTCAGTGTCATGTGACTGTTCCCTGGGGGTCCCCATCAGGATCGTGTCCCCTTGTCCCCCCTCCCCCATCAGAGGTCGTGTCCCCTTGTCCCCCTCCCCCATCAGAGGTCATGTCCCCTTGTCCCCCTCCCCCATCAGAGTGCATGTCCCGCTCCCCCATCAGAGGGCGTGTCCGTGTCCCCCTCCCCCATCAGAGGGCGTGCCCCCTCCCCCCATCAGAGGGCGTGTCCCCTTGTCCCCCTCCCCCATCAGAGGGCGTGTCCCCATGTCCCCCTCCCCCATAAGAGGGCGTGTCCCCCTCCCCCATCAGAAGTCGTGTCCCCTTGTCCCCCTCCTCCATCAGAGGTCGTGTCCTCTTGTCCCCCTCCCCCATCAGAGGTTGTGTCCCCTTGTCCCCCTCCCCCATCACAAGTCGTGTCCCCTTGTCCCCTCCCCCATCAGGATCTTGTCCCCCTCCCCCCATCAGAGGTCATGCCTCCTTGTCACCCCTCCCCCATCAGAGGTCGTGTCCCCTTGTCCCCCTCCCCCATCAGAGGTCGTGTCTCCTTGTCCCCCTCCCCCATCAGAGGTCATGCCTCCATGTCCCCCTCCCCCATCAGAGGTCGTGTCCCCTTGTCCCCCTCCCCCATCAGAGGTCGTGTCTCCTTGTCCTCCCCCATCAGAGGTCGTGTCCCCTTGTCCCCCTCCCCCATCAGAGGACGTGTCCCCTTGTCCCCCTCCCCCATCAGAGGTCGTGTCCCCTTGTCCCCCTCCCCCATCAGAGGTC